GAAAAAGAAGGACCTATGTAATACTTTCAACAATAAGATTTTAAAAAATAAATAAAATAAAACAAATAAAAAAATAAGAACTTATAAAACTCAACACTAAAAATAATTCAATTAAAAAATGGGTAAAGGACCTGAATAGACACTTTTCCAAAGAGGACATACAGGTGGCAAACAGACATATGAAAAATGCTCAACTTCACTAGTCATCAAAGAAATGTATATTAAGACCACAATGAGCTAACACCTCACACCTGTCAGGATGGCTATCATCAATAAGTCCACAAATATTAAGGCTGGCAAAGATGTGGAGAAAAGGAAACTCTCATATACTGTTGATGGAAATGCAAATTGGTGTAGCCACTATAGAGAGGAGTATGGCTGGTCCTCAAAAAAATTAAACATGGAACGGACTTATGACCCAGTGTTTCCACTTCTGGGGATTTATCCAAAGAAACCCAAAACAGTAATTTGAGAGAATACATGCACCTCTATGTTCATCACACCATTATTTACAATAGCTAAGATTTGGAAGCAGCCCTAGTGCCCATTGGTGGTAGATCAGTGGATAAAACTCAGCCATAAAAAAGAAGAACATCTTTCCCTTTGTGACAGCATGGATGGAGCTGGAGCACATTATGCTGAGTGAAATAAGCCTGTCAGAGAAAGGCAAGTATCATATGATTTCACTCAGATGTGGACTCTAATGAACAAAATGAACTAACAAGAAAAACAGAGACAGACTCATAGATGGAGAGCAGGCTGACAGCTGTTGGTTGGGAGGAGGCCTAGGTGTGTGTGTGGGGGAGGGATTGAACAAAAAAGGAAAAAAAAGAGAAAAAAATCATGGACACGGGCAGCAGTGTGATGACTGCTGGGGGCAGGGTGTGTGCGAGAGGTGGAGGAGAACACAGGGCAGATAAATGGTGATGGACAGAGGCTTGACTGTGGTGGTGAACACACATACAGTGTACAGATGAAGTGTTGTAGAACTGTGCACCCAAAACCTGTATAATTTTGTTGACCAGGGTCTCCCCAATAAATTAAATTAAAAATTTAATAATAAATAAAACCAAAAAAAGGGTAACTATATGAGATGATAGTATATTAATTAGCTTGATCGTGGTAGTCATTACACAATGCATATATTTATTAAAGCATCACGTTGTACAAACTAAATGTATATAATTTTATTTGTCAGTCACACCCCAATAAAGCTGAATGAAAAGTACTCAGTTAATGAAGGGCATCACTGGTGCTTTTGAGAAATAACCAGCTTCTCGGGGGTGGATGGGAAATGGGCAGCCTCTCAAAGCAGCCAGGTCGTTTCTCGCCACCCTTTCATTTGTGCCGCTCACCAACAGTGGCAAGCTTCTTGATAAGGAGGCAGGGGAGGGAGAGGACAGGGACACCCGTCGGGGCCTCCAGCAGAGCCTGCTTAGAAGCTCAGACTTAAGACCATTCAATC